ACTATACCCTTATTCTATACCCTCACAACTATAACCTTATTCTATATCCTTATTCGGTATCCTTACCACTATAACCTTATTCTATGCCCTTACAACTATACCCTTATTCTATGCCCCTAGAACTATATCCTTACTCCAAGGGGAAGCAGCGGACTTCAAGACTTTAGGACTTCAAAAAACTTCAAGAACTTCAACGGACTTCAACCATAGTGACTTGAAATTTTCACAAAACTTCTAAAGACTTCACAAGACTTCAGAGACTTCATGGGACTTCGCGAGATTCCATGTGACTTCATAGGACTTCCAAAAACTTCAAAAGACTTCAAGAGACTTCATGAACTTCACGGACTTCACGGGATTTTATGACAGAGAAAAAATAGAGGACTTCAAGACTTCACGAGACTTCAAGAGACTTCAAAAGGTTTCAAAAGACTTCAGAACTTCATTGGACTTCATGAGCGAAGTCCCCGCTGTTTCCCCCTAGCCTTACTCTACATCCTTATTCTATATCCTTAGTAGCTAGAACGGGTGCAACCTGCACGACTGCTTTTTTTTTGATACACATAGACACTCTATACTTTCTGCAGTCCTTATACACTCTGATACTCCTTCTACTACGTATACTCCCTATATTCCTTATGCGGCCCATATCCCCTATATTTCTATACTTCCTACATCCCTTCTATATTCCCTATATTCTCTATACCTCCTATACCATCTGTATTCTCGACACTTCCTATATCCCGTATATTTCCGATACCCCGTATATCTCTATACCCCGATATTTCCTATACCCTCTGTATTCTCTATAGCTTCTATACGTCTATACTCCATACATTCCCTATATTCCCTATCCTCCCTATACTCCTTATACTACCTACGTTTTAGTAGAGTCTACATAAAACGTGGAACTCTCTAAAACTAACAATAATCCATGCGACCTTTGAACCGGCAGAGATTAAGGTTTGACCCTTGACTAGAGAACATTCCATAAAATTGTGGAAAGTTCCAGAACTTTCTAGATTCGTGGTTACGTCCACATCGTTCGAGAAAGGTGTAGAAAATTCCAGAAGTGTTTGACCTTTAACCTTCAACCTTTGATCTTTGATCTTTGACCCGGTAACAGACGGACAGACAACCGTGCTTTATTATATAGATTCTATACCCTTATTCTATACCCTTATTTTATATCCTTACACTATATCCTTATTCTATGCCCTTAGAACTAAAGAAAAACCCAATATATTTATATTTCGTTTCTTGACCGACACTCAAGACGTGACATATACTTTTGTAGTTGTTTACTATATTTATTATAAATAAGCTAGGTATTCTTAGTACGTTGGTGATTTATTTCAATCTTATCATGAAATAAATAGCAGCTAAATGACATAAATAAAGTGAAAATGCTGAAAAAGAAAAGAAAGTTCATTTCATCTTGATATTATAAGTAGATAAAAACATTTTCGATGGTCGACAAAAATCGTTCACTTTGTACAGTAACATATCACGAAGTAAAAGAAATGAAAACTACGTGATGAAATAGTCCTGTCGAATGTACTCTAA